GGGGGGGGGGGGGCATTGTCCGGGTCAGTGGGTGGATGCGTGCCAGGGGGTACACAAAGAGATTACCGAGAGGAGCGGAAGGCATGAGGAAAAGGGCACACATGGGAATTGGCGCACGGTAATTCGGACCCCAGCTCACATCGGTGAAGGATGCCGTCAGGTCGTTGGTGATCGAGGCGAAGTCAATTTGCAGACCGCGCGTGGAGAGGCCGCTTGCCGGGGCACCACTCCCGCCGACAGAAGACAGGTTCCCAATGCTGGAATTGACCGAGGCCGTCCCGCCGGTGGTCGAGGACGAGGGGGTCGAGGATTTGGGGTTCGGCGACCATACCATGTCCCCGGCGGCGGAGGAGGCATCGTCATAATGGGAGTCCGATCCCTCCCGACGATGGTGATGGTGATGGTGATGATGGTGGTGGTGGTGATGGTGATGCGAGTGCGAGTGCGAGTGCGAATGTTGGCCGGCCATCGACAGATCAGGAGTCGATGGCTCCTCATCGGAAAGGTTTTGGAAGGCCTTCATGTCGTGGATGCGCAGGACTGGGCGTGTGTAAGTATGTATGGTTGTATGTGTGTGTGTGTGTGTGTGAATGCAGACACAGAGGGGGAAGCATAAACAAGAAAAAGGTCAGTGTAAAGCAGGCTAGGTGCCGGGACAAAGCATTGCCAACTCTGCAAAACGCACCGCCGCGGCCGGCAATGACCACACGAGAGCGATCCGGGGAGGCAGAGAAGCTCGAAAGCGATTCGCTAGGGGGACAGGCGTGAGAAAGAGCGAGCCAGGAACTTGGCAGAGGCAAAAGAGCCGTATCTGACACTTGGGGGAAGGAGTAGCGGCAGGTCTCGGTATTGACATCCCAGATCTTTTTTTTTTTTTTTTTTTACCCATACAGATCTCATCCACAGGTCAGGAACCGGGACTCCCAGTTGCCAAGTGAGGGGTGGCCCGGGCGCACCTTGATCGTTCGGTCTTGGGCGCCGCTCACCAAGAAGCGCCCACTCTGGTGCCAGTCAATCGACAGAACCTCCTTTGTGTGGGCGCCCTTCATCCGGCGAAGCGGGCGCCGGGGATTGCGCAGATCCCACAGCATGATGGAGCCATCGGAATGGCAAGAGGCAAACTCGGTGTCCACTTGGGCACAATAGTCGCCCGCCGGTCGGAGGGAAATATCCCGCGACCAAGTTGATGCCGGTGGTCGGAAGATGGCTGCGGGGGCCCGAAAGTTGCGGATATCCTACGTGCATGGGGCCGACAGCGCGACAAAGATGGCGGTACCAATCGAAGCAAAGAGCGAGGAGGAGCAGGAGGAGGGCGGGGGAGGCAGACGGGGTTGGGAAGAGGGCAGGATGAGAGACAGAGAGAGGGAGAAAGAGAACAGGGCCAAAGAGTGAGGGAAACAGAGCGACAAAGGGAGAGAAAGAGGCGGAGGGGGGGGGGGGCAGGGGAGTATGTACCGTTACGCGAATGGTCCCGTCATGGTGGGCCGTGAGGAGGGAATTCTGCTCGCGGAAGAAGAAAACCCGATAGACCGATCGGTTTGACGCGTAAGAGGCTGGACTGACTGGTCAGATGGTGTTTGGGGGGAGAAGAATGAAACTCGGTGGGG